AAAGCATTTGATAAAGTATCTCATTACTCTTGTAGAAGTGATAGAGAAATGTAGAAAGGTGGATTTGGAGCTAGTTGAATGGCTGTACTCAAAAAGTAGTTGTTAATGGTTCACTGTCAATTTAGAACTCTCCAGGGGAGTACTCCAAGAATCTGTACGGTTTCACATTTTTATCAATGACTTGAATAAAAGAGTAGATAGCATGCTCACTGAATATGCAGATGACATAAAGCTGGGAGAAATAGCTAATGACAGAATCAGAATCCAAAAAGACTTTGACAAGCTAAAGGACTGGGCTCAAACTAAAAAGATTGCCATTCAATAGGGATAAATGTAAAGTCTTATCCTTGGGTTCAAAGAATCAGCTTTACTAGTACAAGGTGGTAGAAGCATAGTTAGATGATAGTTTTGTCAAAGCCCACGATGAGCCAGCAGTTGATGTAATCTCACATGAAGGGAGGAATAGCTTTGAGGAATGAGGAAGTGAAAGTATCTCAGTGCTCTGCCCTGATCATTCCACATCTGAAGTACCATGTTCAATTTTTGGTGCCTCAGCTTTAGAAGGATATTGATAAGCTGCAGAGTGTCCAGAAAAGAGCAACCAGGATGGGAAAGGAGCTTCAATTCATGTTATACAATAAAAACTAAAGTTGAAAGAACTGGAAATGTTTAACCTGGAGAAAAGGAAACTTTGTGGGTAGTGGCAAGGGGCAGAAGGGGGAAACAAACAAGATATCTGTCCTATCTAGCTCCAGAAGGAAGGACTTGGAGCAATGGTAGGAATTTAGTTTCAAAAAATATTTAGTTTTGGCATCAGGAAAAACTTCCTAAAAATTAGTTGTATAAAAGTATAATGGACTGTCTAAGAAGGTGGCAGGATCCTCTTCATGGGAAAACAGAGGCTAAATGACAACTTGTGAAAACATATTAGGAGTCCCTTTTGGTTGTAAGTTGGACTGAGCTGCCATTGAGATTCCCTTTAAAATTCTGTGGTTCTCTGAAGTCTTTGAGTTATTTCTTATTCTTCCTCCTCCTTTGTTATGCTTATCCAATTAGTCACCTAGCTTTGTTGATTCTTCCTTCAAAATGTCTCCCATTGAAGACTTATATGAACTCATGCAAAGTGAAGTGACCAGAGCTAGGAGAACATTGTGCAGAGTAACAGCAGTATTGTAAGGAGGAACAACCGTGAAAGACTTAGCTACTCTGATTAAGACAGTGATCCAAAACAATTCCAAAGGGCCTGGCATGAAAAATGCTATCCACCTCCAGAGAGAGAACTGATGAACTCTGAATGCAGACTGAAGCATACTTTTTTTGGCTTTACTTTTGTGTTTTCCTTTGCAACATGAATAATTTGGAAATGTGTTTTGCATCACTTCACATGTATAATCAATATCAAATTGCTTGCCTTCTCAAAGAGGGGGGAGGGGTAGCTGGGAGGGAGAGAATTTGGAACTCAAAATTCCTAAAAATGCTAAAGATTTCTTTATATGTAATTGGGAAACATTTGACAGAATAAATAAAAATATATTTAAAAAAAACAAAAGCAAAACAAAACAAAAAAACCCCAAAATATCTCCCTTCTCTCTTTTTTTCCCCCAATCCTGATGCCATTGCCAAGTTCAAACTCAGGCATTACTGAAATAGATGTCTAACTGTTGCCCCTGCCTGCAGTCTCCATCCTTCTCCCTAAATCATACACGACATAAAGTAATCTTCCGGATTCATCCCCTTTGATATGTTAGTTGTAGTTAAAACTTTTCAATGTCTGTCTCATTGCCAACTCCCTCCCCCAATAAAGTTAAATCTTCTTACCTTAGCATTCGAGGCCTTTAGTGTTTTTTTGCTCCCACCCAAAAGAGCGAAACTCCCCGGATCCTACCTTTTCGAGCCTCACTATGTGAATGACCTAGAGCTATGATCCCTAGATTTCACTTTCCTATTGAAAGTGAAGAGTAGAAGGTTTCAGTAAATCTCACTGATGATGTTCAACTGAAGCTACAGACTTTCAGCAACTTAAACTGATTGTTTCCAGGTCAGACAACCCCAGATAACTTAGTTTCTAATCGTAACACCTCCCAAGACTTTGTTTTCATTACTGTCTTGGATAACTTGTGATTTATAACTTAAAATTTTCAAATGTTTTAAGCTTATATGTGTTCTGGATTTCTTCTTTTTTGGTAATACAATTACATATGGGACCCTTTCATTTGCTGCTGGGCATTAAACTATTTCTTTATTTTTTTTTAAACTATTTCTTTAAATAAAAAAATGGTTCAAGAAATGGGATAGAAGCTTTGATGTTCTGTCCTTCCTAGGAATTATGTTCCAGTCATATCTCCCATTGATCTCCTTTGTGACTGCTCTAGCCAGTACAACAGGTGTCCTCACCATCCTTGAAATATACCTTGTGCTCTCTTCCATGTCTTTACTCAGTTCCCACCCCCCCATCTTCCCACCCCCCTTAACTTTGTCTCCCTACCCACTCTTCCCCACTATTACAAACCAGACACATTCTCAAGACCCCTTTTCCTAGACTACTCCAGGCTACAGCAATCTTTCCTTTTTGTTATCTGCCACTCAGCTGGCAGCTAATCACCTATCCTTCCTGCAAGCCAGATACTGAGTCTTTCATGAGTTTTGGTATAAAAATAAAGGGCCATCATCTTTTCCAGCATTTGTCCATTAGCCCCAGGGTAGAAGCAGGGACCCAAATCAGGATCCAATACTTGTTTGTTTCAGTCCCTAATCTTGCAGCTCAATCTGAATCTACCAAACCTCTCTGAGCACATCCCCGAAAGGGGATTGTATTTTCTATAAAGTCTATCTCAAGAACTTCAAAGCTTCAGCATAGTCTGGGAGAGTCAGCCCCACCCTAAACATTCTCTCACACCCTGAATGGGAGAGGTCCTGCAAAAGGCTCATTCACTCATTCCTACCTCTTCAAAGTCCTTGGGATTTGAAATGGAGTAAAGTTTGGGGGAAGAGGTTTCTCTAGATGACCATTCCAAAGCAGTGAGATTCTTATTTCATTAGGTAGGTGGAATTGAAAGGCCCTGTAGATCATGTTCAATTTCCTTTGGCTTTTAGTTGTTTTAGAAGCATTAGCTTATGGAAAAAATACAACCAAGGGAACAGTTTAGGTGGAACCTTTTCCACACTCATCACTATGAGGGGGGAAAACACTAGACTACTCCTCTGGGAATAAAGTGAGGCTATCAAATCCCAGAGATCTTTCCTGGAGAACCATCAAAACTGATGAAATACTCTCTCTGAAGCAAGCTTCTAACTTCCAATGACAGGGAAGAAAATCTATTAGTTCTGTTCCTTTGAGGGGAACTGCCCTCCAATTTGACAGCGACTCATACTTAATATTTAACTTCCCAGGTGATGGATTGCTAAAGCAGGAGGGAAGGGGTGCTTTCCCCCTTGGGCTGGGGGAAAGAGGGGAAGAGAAAGAAAAGGGTCCCCGACAATTTGGGCAGATTACGGCACCCTAGCAACAATTTGGTAGAGTCCCAACTATCCTCTCCTCGATCATCCATTCCAAAGGTCACGAAGACTGAGAGTGGAGATGAGGATAAAGAATCCTCTTCAAATCTTAAGAACAGTTGTGATAGAGACAAAAGAAGTGTCTCCTCTCCTTTTCCCACCCCAATCCCCTCTTTTTTGGCAAACATGTTTTTCGATTACCGCACAACTCCCTGACACGTGTTATTTTTTTTCCCTCTCGCCTCCAAGCTCACCCCCTTTCTCCCCTCTGATCACACTGTTTATTTTTCTCCTGCCTTTATCGCTGCCCTTGTCTCTTCTAATCTTCTCTCTTGCTGTGCTGACGTCACGGTGAAACCTCCCTGATTTTCCTTTCACATACCAACTACACACGTTTCTCTTCAAACCCTTTCCAACAAACAGGCTCAGCCTCTGCTAGAGGACGCGGCTGCTTCCAAGGTAAGCTCAGACAAGGAGTTGGGCAGGAGCGGGGCTGGAGGAGGCAGGAGGAGGTGGGGAACAGTCTGACAACTTCTCGCCAGCGTGTGCTTGTAGCATCAAATGGGGAGGGAGGCTGAGGGAAGGAATGAAGGGGCCAGATTTGATTTCTGATCAATCGATGTGGGAAGGGAGGGAGAAGAGTCAAAATGCTAGAGACCCCAACAGAAAGGAGAGAGTCTGCCAAAGAAGAGCTTAGTGGAGAAATTAAAACAGAATTCCCTAGGGACGGATTAACTCCAGACGTGGGATCCCTCACTGGAAATGCTTGAGAACTAGCCGAAGTTCTATCAACTCCATCCTAAGAGCAAAGAGGAGATTAGACAAAAGTGATCTGCAAATGGAATCGGGGGCTGCGGGAATAGAAGAGATTTGAAGTGCAGATTGTGTGGTGTGCATGGGTTTTTTTTTTTTTTTTCTCTTTTCCCAATCTGAAGTAGAAGGCAACTAGTTGGTTAAGGTGAGGCCCTCCAGAAACCTGAAAGAGGCAACTTGAGTTCAGTGGGGCATTGCAGGTTAAAAGCAGGTGCCGCCGTTCAAACTAGGGACGCAGGCTGCTTGCTCTCTTGCCTGGGAGGGGCACGGATGCACCTCGCCTTGGCCCAAGCTCAGCAGGACAGCCTATTTTTTTCCCCAAGGAAATGTCTAAGGGCAGCTTACTTTCCAACGAGCTGCCTCATTCTCCACCCCCCTCCACCCCCCTCCCTGGTCTCGTGCTTGTTTGGGTTCTCGAGGCTCTGCTGCAGTGCATTCATGCCTTTTGAACAACTGTCGGAAAAGGGCTCCCAAATTCCCTGTGTATGTGTGTGTGTGTGTGTGTGTGTGTGTGTGTGTGTGTGTGTGTGTGAGTGTGTGTGTCGGAGAGCAGCAGACGGAAGAGATTCGGAGGGAGAAGGGGCAGGGGCTGCTGGCTGGCTCGTAGAGTAGCCTGGAAAACACGGCAGCTGCCCGGAAGATCATAGCAATCCCACGCTGCGGGGGGAGAGTGGAGGCTTTCCCAAGGGAGGAGGGGGATGCCCCTGGCACAACTAAGACCTTCTCATAGAGATGCTGCAGTTGGTGCCTTTGAAAAAGCCTGGATGCTAATACACAGTGAATTATAAGAAGGGGTGGGGCGGCAGATTCCAGAATTGGGGCCAAAGAAACCCCCAAAGACGCCTACTTGCGAGCCACACCCCGGAATGGAGAGATCCACGGAAATACCAATTACTTTTTGAAAGGTCCCCAGGCAGAAATGAAATACTTTGGACAGGAGGTAAGGAGTTTTTGGGTTTTTGTTTTTTGGACCTAAGCTAGATTAGAATGAAGGGCTCTTTGGTGCAGTGCTGTGGTTTGGTTCCTCTCCCCCCCCCCCCCCCATTCCAGAAGACCAGAATTGTCAAGCTTAGGAAAACTCTGAAGTTGTGGATGTTTTTGAAATTCAAGGGGGCTCAGCCAGGGGCGGGAGAGGAGGACTTAGGGCTGGGTGAGGATACTTTGAAACCCTCCCCAGCTTTGAGATAGCCAAGTTCAGAAGGAAGAAAAGGGGCATTACCTCTGTGTCACGGATTATTATATAGAGGGAATGGGGATCAGCGGGTGTGTGTGTGTGTGTGTGTGTGTGTGTGTGTGTGTGTGTGTGTGTGTTTGCGTGCGTGCTCGCGCGCGCATGCTTGTATGTGTGAGAGAAATTTTCAAGATAAGAAGGAACAGACAGCAAGAGAGACTTAGGTTAGGGTTCGAATAAAAAAGACCTTCCTGGGTTAATATTGGAGCCAGTGGCCAAGGGTGCTTAGGGAATCTCTCTGAGGACATGTGAAAATGGCATAATTTTCATTTGCCTGGGATGTAGCTAAGTGTGATCTTGTCTGAGGGCAGGGGAGGTGGAATATATAAATATCTTTTCAAGGTCCCTTCCAATCAGGAGATTCTGTGTCTGATTGGAAAAGGCAGAAACTCCTGCAAGTCAACATTGTTTGTTTATTGTAAATTAGACTGATTTTTATATTTTCTCTGTCCCTCTCCTTTCCCCTACACACAAGTGAAAATTTCAAAATCAGAAAAACAAGGGAAATTTTGGTTTCCAAAGGAAGACAAACTTTTAAAATGTTACAAAAGATGAACAAATGTCCTCCCTTGCTTCTCCTTTTAGGATGATAATGTTGAAAGGAGTGAAGTTCAGTGGTTAGAGTTAAGAAAAATAATAGTGGAAATTTTCCGCAGACATTTACTGAGAGCACAGGCAGTCTATCTGTGTGACCTTGGAGAAGTCCATTTAATCCTTCTGTTTCCTTTCTTATCCTTCTGAATATTTCATCCCAGAACACTTAAACCTCTTTCTGTATGTGGCATCTTCACAAAGCCTTGTGACTGTCTATAAGTGCTTGGAATTCCCTTTGTGAATAGCTTTATGCAGCTGCAATGATATTTTCAAAGCTTAATCAGAATAAATTGTTAAAAAAGAAACAGTGTGATTTCTTTGTCTGGAGGCTGGGGCATCTGTCTAGTCATATGGGGAAGAGCAAAGTGACCCAAGCTATGGTGATTCAGAACAACTTGACCTTGATTTCCTACCCAATGATGCACTTCCTTTATGGCAGTGAAGTGATAGTCCCTGTCCCTGGTGCATTCCCTGCTGGGCACATAGAACATTCAGGGATGGGTGTTTCAAGTCTTTCCGGCAAAGGAGAGAATCAGAGAACAGTTTCCCCTCTGCATTGTAAAAGAAGGATGGAAGAGTTGGCCTGAAGAAAAAAGTTTGCCAATGGCTTGAATGATCATTTGGGCAAAGATACACTCAAACTAGAGACATTTTCCACCATATATGGTACCAATGGAGTGGTTCAGTCAAAGACAAACCAACATTATATACAAGATATTTCTAGCAGTTTGCAAAGGAGCAATATGCAAAGAGTGGCCAGGAATAGCCAAGAGTGGCTTGAATTCTGTAGAACACAAGCTACATATTGGAAATTCCCATTTTCTCTTTAGTTCTCTAATGCAAACACCATCCTTCCACAGCCATTTCCAAGATAAATTGGCTGGTGTGGAGCAGAGACAGCAGGTAAATTGTCCCACCCCTGACTGTGAGCACAGACAAACACAAATATATCTCCCAGAGGACCTACGCAAGCCCAGAACAGTGTCTGGCAAAGAGAAAGTCTTTATATTCACAACAGATCCAGCATCTGTTTCAATCTGACAAATGGTTTACTGGAGAAATGACCTGGCAAGATAAGAGGCTCAGGCAGTCTCTGATAGGAAGGGGATTTTCCTTAATGACCAGGATCGATTGTGATCATAGTCCCTTTGGAAAGATCTAGACAAGCCTCTAGACCCCTGGAGCCTGGGAACAGAGCAAAGCCTGCCTTGAACATATTGGTCATACACATGAAAGGACCGAGGCCGGCTGTGGCAACCCAGGAGGGTGTTCCACACAGGCGACTATAGTTGGACAACTTGTTTTCTTAAAACACTGGGCTTGTACTTCTACACGCTTGTGGGCATTTCTCTTTCCAACAGGTACTCTTTCTCTGTCAACATTTCTTTAGGAAGAGTCCAGTGGATCAAAGCTGTTGCTTTCAGCTTTAGCCTTCTAAGTACTCAGTCCTATCACAGGCACACAGAGAATCATAGATTCCAGACTGGCGGGACTTCAGAGACCGTTTAATCCAAATCCCTCATTTTACAGATGAGGAAGCCAAAGCTCAGGGTCGATATGGGATTTGTCCAAGGCCACATAGGTAGTAGGTGCCAAAGGTGGGATTTGTCCTTTGATTGACAACAGAATTTTTCCATTGTACCATGCTGCCTCTCTGTCAACTAACTTAGCTAACTTGTCCATTGTAAATTGTGCTTCTTTCAGAGGGCTCTGGGCTTCTCAGCCCAGGTGGTTAATTGACTGAGCATTCTGAGTCCCATGGCTGGATATTTAGAGCTGAAGGGCATGTGGAACTGACTTTTCCCTCCTTTTGACTGGTTCAGTTAATGTTGCTTATTTTACTTCGTGACGGTCCCATTCACACATCAGTGCTCATCATCTTGTATTGTGGATGTTATTACCGACTTCCCAGAGAACGAAAGACCAGAAAGGAAATGCAGACAGCTTTGAAAATACTAGTCTAGAGTTCATAGTATGCATGCATATAACAGTTTGGAACATGACTTTTTGGAGAGAAAAACTACTCTGCAGGAGTTTTTTGCCAATGATGAAAGTCTGAGGGTAGGAAAGTGTGTATTAACAGAGGATATAACTAGGAATTCTTTCCTCTAGAGCAAAAAGAGTTGGGGGGAGGGAAGTGCACAGTTAGACTGTTAGAACAGACAGTCGGTTGAGTGGTATGGCGGTGGCACAGCTGTCTGATCACAGGTATAGTCACACTAGGAAAGGGTCCGAAGGGGCAACAAGGGATCAGAGTTGTACTGTGCAGGCATCAGAAGACCATGGAGAGTGTTGAAACAGTTGTCTGTTCGGAAGAACTGTGTCTCCCTCCCACATCAGCACTCTGAGGCAAAGCCCAAGGTAGCCTACTTTAGTTGGAATTTCATTGACAGTTAAGTCTCTGAACATAACTGGGGAAAGGAAATGACTGCTCACATCATTCCCCTTTCCCTGGACATTCTGGAAAACTTCAGAAAGGCAATTAGCAATGTAAAGGTCTTTGAGGTAACACCTCAAAATCTTCTCATACAGTCCACTGGTTGGGGACTTGACATTTGGCTTCCTATGATCTTGAATTACCTATAGATATCACCTGGCCAGCTAGGTGGCACAGTAGATAGAGCCCCAGGGCCTGGAATCAGGAAGACTTGAGTTTAAGTATGGCCTCAGTCTCTTACTACCTATGTGACCCTGGGCAAGTCACTTAACCCTATTTGCCTCAGTTTCCTCATCTGTAAAATGAGAAGGAAATGGCAAACCACTCCAGTATCTCTGCCAAGAAAACCCAAATGAGGTCATGAAGAGTCAGATGTGACTAAAACAACCAAACAATATATATATATATATATATAATTATTATATACTATATGTTATATATATAGCTGAATGGGATCTTCTCTTTCAGAGAAAAGATTACAATGTATTAGGATAAAGCTGTCCTCCCAGCAAACATATAAGGTAGTAAAGGCAGGCATTTATAAAGAGGTAAAATAGGCTTACACAACCAAGTTAGAAAGTGACAGAGCCTGGTCCAGAAGCCAGGGAAATTCCTAATCCATTGTGCTGCCAAGACCATAAAAAGAGTCACCCTGCATTCCCTGAATTCCTCCTTATCACATACATATATAAGGGGCAGGGGCAATCTATGGGGCAAATATGATATGTACCTATGTTTTGCTCCTTGAGCCAACCCAACCTGGTTTGGGAAAACATGTTTAATTCCTTCTAGTCTTTTCTTAAAATTTTTTTTCTTGTTAGCACCACCTCTAGTCTGTTTCTTTGATATTTTCTGGTCCCAGCCATATGGGCACCAACTTGTCTGCCCCCTTCCCATTCTACCTTCTGTCAAACAATCTCTCTGCGAATCATAAATTAGCACTCCCAAGTTGCCACATTTACATCAACCATTCAGGAGATGGCTCCGTCTATGGTAAAAGGGAGCCTATATAATTTACATTCAAGTGAGATTATTCATCACATTGCATAACATTATGATGACCATATTGACTCCAAATATCCTTTTTTTTTTTTTTTTGAGAGTAGGTTTCCCTATTTCACCCTGAGAGGAATTATAGTGGCCTTCATGGTGCTGATCACAATCTTGATCATCATGGAAACATTGACCTGTTCCATTTCTGACCTAGACCAATTTACTCCCCCCATCCCCAGCTCCTATGGGGGCTTACCATATTGGTGCCATATTTCGTGCAAACACCTGATTGGCTTTAGCCCTAATGTGGCACAGAGCTCCCAACTTTGGGCAATCCATCAGTCCCAGCCTCCCCAGCAGCAGGGATTACAGGTGTGAGCCATTATGCCCAGCCAAATGTCAATTTAAAATACAGTCTTATATTCCCAGACTATGCCTTAGGGTCTGGGATAGGAACGTATGGTGCAGGTAGGTAGGGATAAGGCTCCAGCTACCCAGTTGTGGGTGACATCTGCTAGCCTACTCCACAGGGACTGCCACCTCCTTTCTGTCAAGGCCTCACTATGGTTAGGATGGAATCTGGTGTTCCGGTGGGCAGTTCCTCAGCAATAAGAGATTGGGGCGGAGCGGGGGGGGGCAGCTAGGTGGCACAGTGAATAGAGCACCGGCCCTGAAGTCAGGAGGACCTGCGTTCAAAGCCGGCCTCAGACCAAACACTTGACACTTACTATCTGTGTGACCCTGGGCAAGTCACTTAACCCCAATTGCCAAAAACAAAACAAAACAAAACAAAACAGAGATCCAGGAAGAGAGGGTACCAGGGACGCCAAGTCCGAGAGAGAACATAAGATATTAGAAACTGGGCTAGAAACCAAGCTGGACAAGATGAACAGATATGCTGGGACCAGTGTGCTGTGGTGATGCAGGGCTTTAATTCCTGCTGTTGGGAAGTCTGAAGCTTTTGGACCTCTTGAGCTCTGGAGTTCAGAGTTTCAGTAGGTCTAGTGAGTTAAATGTTCCTACTAAGTCTAGCACCAATATGGGGAGGCTCCAGGAGGTAGGGTGGGCCACCAGGCTGTCTAAGAAAGGGTGACCCAACGAAAGTCAGAAACAGTAGGTTAAAGCTCCTATGCTGATCAGTAGCAGAACTGGCCCATGAGTGGTTGCTGAATTTCCAGCCTTGGTGAGATGGGGTGGCGGGGGAGGGGAAGATAAATTGGTAAAAGAAGTAAGTCAAAACCAGATGATATAAGTAATAAGAGAAACTGGAAAGGTGCTAGGGCATATTGCTTACTTCTACACACTTATCAGTGAATCTTACAAGAGATCTTAACCATGAGAAAATATTAATAATATTTGTAAAGTGATTAGCCTAGTGCCTGGCTTACAGTAGGTACTTAATAAATGTTTGCTCCCTCTCCCTGACCAGCCTTCCCATCCCCACCAGGGAACCCAAGAAAAAAGACACCCATCTTTCTTGAGTGAGAATCCAGTGGGTCTTAAGTGAAATGAATATCATTGATAATTTCCACGTGACACTTCATAAACCCCTGGGTGTTTGGAGGGAGTAAAATGCTTAGAAGAGAGGGAGAAATGGAAAGGTTAAGGGGCATGGAAAAAATTGGAATGGGTCCTCAAAGGCATGGTTTGATGGCTTCTGCAGGCATCCATATTGGAATGGGGTACAAAACAGGGTCAAAAATCTTCCTTAGGATGATCCAAGTGTTGGAAGTAGGGAAAAGAAGAACATTTTTAGAATTTTATAGATCTCTTACTTGAAGAGTAAGGTTGCTTTAAGCTCAAGGCTAATAAAAATTTTATACGTGAACAGAGAGAGAGCGTTTTCCAATCTATGAGGCTTAGGATAGGAATCTAAGTAGATTCTCTCATGAGATCCTTAAATGGACTTTGGCAAAATTATTTATCCTAGTTCTGCTATTTATTACCTGTGTGACTGGACAAGTCACTTGCCCCCTCTAGGCCTCTTTCCTTCTAGCCTTTAATCCCATGATCCTGTCAATGCCACCATTTTTCCCCCTCCATTTATAAAATAATGGCTTTATGAAAGATGAAAAATATTTAAATGTCCTAGATCTCAAAGCCCATTTTAAAAGTGGCTCTTTAAAAATATGTTTTAAACTTATTCTGTCTTCCCTTCTCCCTCCTTCCTCAACCCTCCTCAAACTAGAAGTAACAAGGATTTTGCATACCTGACAGACAAAAATTGATTCCTGAGGATTAGACAGACCTTCAAGCTGCCAGACCAAGGTGAGTGTGAGAAAATCACAATCCTTTAAAAACTTGGGTTTTCTGTGGTCTACCCAGAAAATGGCGGACCATTGGCCATGAGCTCAAACTTGATCCAGGGTCCTCCTAGAGCACCTCTCCCCAGTCTCTTTAAAAGACAAAAAAAAATCCTCTTCATTTTGTGGTTTATTGTTAATAATTTATAATCAACATTGTCCATTGTATTTGACCTGAGTTTTCTTGCCTTTTAATGTTTTCATTGACATTATGTTTATTGTTCTTTAGACCTGCTTTCTTTACTCTGTATTATTAGCTTATACAAGCCTTCCTGCATTTCTTTTATTCTTCATGGTCAATACTCATTATCATTCAGTTACAGACGCATTACATCCTTATATCACCATTTGTTTAGTCATCTCCATTTTGGCAGCACGCAATTTATCTTCAGATTTTTGCTACTGCAAAGTGGTGCTTATGTGAATACTTGGTAGTGCAGCCTTTCCTTTTGTCATTGATCTCCTTGGGGTAAGGGGTTGGGGAAGGAATTGGAATGAGTCCTCAAAGTCAGGCTTCCTTTTAGCTTCCTTTTTTCACTAGTCTTCCTCATTCGTCTAAGTACTTTGTTCTGTTGTCAGAAGATGCCAGTAGGGTGGGGGGAAGGAGGGGATGGAAGAGGAAAGCATTGTTTCTTTTTTAAACACAAACACACACACACACACACACACACGCACGCACACACACACACACCCCTCTCTAGGTTCAAAAGTGAAACACTCATACTTCTGCCATTATATTCCTTCCTAAGAGTCCTCTCCCAGTCAAATATGTTTCAGCAGTTAAAAAAGCTCTGTTTTTTTTTCTCAGATCTCCCTATTTATAGCTTACAGTTGTTGGCATGTATTCATGGCTCTGACTACTTAATTTATATCTCTGGCCTCTCTTGCATGCCTCAGGAAAGTTTGGAATCTGTACATTTCTTTGGTGGATGTATTTCTCTTCTTCATCCATTCCCTGTCTTCTTTTCCTCCCATTACCTACCCATCATCTCCATCATCTCGGTGCCACAAATCAAAATCCAAGGCCATTTTGATTCAGGGATTGCTGTTTCCAACAGCTTCTACATAAACACGTGGGACCCTGGCCAGGAAAACTGGCAATTCAGATAATGAAAAGGTGGCATGGACATGAGGAGAATCACAAAGGATGCACTCAGTAATTACAAATTAGATTGGAAAGTCATGTTTCTCGTGTGAAGGGGCCCCACTGGATCTGTAGTAGTTAAATAAAAAGATAAGGAAGCTAGTAAAGGTGCCCATAAATATTGAATGCATTATGGGGAGAAAGGAAGAGGGTGATAAACTGTATTTCAGGGTCTGTGCAGGTCTACAAACCCTTTCTGTATAGATTACAGCTACAGCAGAGCCCCTGGCATAGAAGGTTCCATGGAAACACATTTCCTGTTGCAACTACCCAAGCTGCTGGGGGGGTGAAGGGAGAAGGGCAGTGTTGGAGAGAAGGCAGAAATACCATCTACATTTACATCTTAATTGTGAAAAACTGTACAGATCCAGTACTAGCCTGGTAGAAATTAGGGTTGAGAAATTTAAAAAAAAAGGAGAATAGAAATGATCACACTTAAAGGTGGATCATGGGTTCTCCAAAACTCCTGTGGAAAACAGTGTCAATGTGTTCTGGTGGGGACTATAGAGTTTCCTTTGTACAATGTCTGGCATGGAATCCCATTCAGTGAAGGTTTTTGATGAGAAACCAATTCAGAAGGGAATGTGCCATGTTTTTCTTATCTCATCTAGTTCTCTAATTATGCTTAATAAGAACTAGTATTTAAAAAAATTAACTTCACAATCTGAAAAAAAGACATGGATCAACTGCAAGCTTAATAGGAGTAATACATGACCCCATTTAGAGTTTTCTTGGCAGAAATACTAGAATGATTTGTCCTCTCCTTCTCCAGCTCATTTTTCAGATGAGGAAACTGAGGTAAACAAGGTTAAATGACTTGCCCAGGGTCACACAGCTAGTTAGTATCTGAGGCTGGATTTGAACTCAGGTCTTCTCGACTCCAGGCCAGTGACCCATCCACTGTATCACCTAGCTGTCCCGGTAACATAGTATGACAGCCAAAAAAAGCTAATGTTACATTGGGCTGAATTAAGAGAAGCACAGCATGGGGTCATGAAGAATCAGACACGACTGACAACAAGCTTCTAGGAATAAGGAAATGAGGTGGGCTCAGTAGATGCCGGCAATCACTGCTGCTGGGGAGCTGAGGCTGGAGGATTTAGATGAGCTGTTTGGAGATTCAATGTAGCATATGTAGCAAATCCTGCACCAAAATGGTGAGCCCTGGGCAATGGATGAGGCTAAGGAAGGAAAAACTGGTCCAGGTTGAAAAATAATGGATTTGATTACAACTTTTATGTCAGTCTATTAGGATCAGGCTCATGAAAGGGCACTGCACTTCTAGCCTGGGTGATGTAGGAATACCAAATTTAATTTAAAAAAAAAAGGACTAAAGAGATATAGCGTCTCTGTAATTCACCCTGGTCTGGAGTATTTTGTCAGTTTTGGGTACCATAGTTTAAGGACATGGATAATTCTGAGAATGTCCAGAGGAGAGTGACAGGATGGTGAAGGACCTCCAATCAATTTAAGGAACTGGGGATATTTAGCGTGGAGAAGAGAAGATTCAGGAAGGATAGATGTGATAGCTACCTTCAAGTATCCAAAGGCCTTGTCATTGGAAGAAGGATTAGATTTATTCCATTACGCTCCAGAAGGCATAGCCAGAAAGAATGAATGGATGGAAGTTACAGAGAGGCTGCAAAAAACAAAACAAAAAAAACCCCCAAAAAACACAACTCCCTCTGCTGGCATTTTCACTGACTGCTACCTGGAATCTCTCTCTCCTCCTCTGTCTCCTGCCTTCCCTGGCTTTCTTCAAGTCTCAGCGAGAATCTCACTTTCTACAGGAAACTTTCATTGTTTTCCCTTAATTCTAGCAGCCTTCCCTCCATTGACCATCTCCTGTTTATGCTAGATATAGTTTGTTTGCTTGTAATTGTTTACTTGTTGTCTCCCCCATAAGATTGTGAGCTCCTTGAGATAGGGGTTGTCTTTTACCTTTCTTTGTATTCCTAGCACTTAGAGCAGTGCCTGGCACATAGTAGGTGCTTAATAAATGTTAATGACTGACTGACAGTTTAGGCTTGGTGTCAGGAAAAAAATTCATAACAAGTAGAGCTGTCTAAAAAGTGGAATGGGCAATGGTCTTTTTTATTGCACTATGTTATGGAAATGCTTGTTTTATTCCATAAATTAAAAATAAAATACATTTTTTAAAAAAGTAGAATGGGCTACGTTGGGAGATAGTGGCTTCCCCTCCTCCGAGGTCTTCAGGCAGAGACTGGATAAGTACTTGCTGAGTCTATTATGGTAGGAATTACTTTCAGGGTATGGGTTGGAGGAAATGAGCATTGAGATACTTTCCAATTTTAAAATCCTGTGATTCTGTAATTATATAGGAATAATGATGACAATACTTCCATAATATTTTTCTTTTCCTGCTGTAGAATAACCCTATGGGCTGGCAGGCACTGTTGTCACCCCAACATTGCTTTTATTGATTCTCAGTACCAATCCAGTACCAGGATCCTTGGCACCCATTGGAAGGAGGGCTTCAGGATCTCTTAACGGGCAATGTATCCCCACCTGCTGGCATTCTCTAAAGCCACTTAGATCAGCTCAAGAAGTTCTGGGTCACAATCCTCTTCACAGAGGGAAAAGGTCTTTTGGTGAACCTTGAGACTCAAGAGTCTGGCTGTACCTCATTCCCGACTCCTGCTGTCCTCACAGATTTTCCTCAGAAGAAACACCAGGTGAAGTGAGTTCCTGAGGGCTGGTGACTGCTGATGCCAGATCATCAGCCTCCCCCTCCTAAGGCTGTCTCCTAGCTTGAGGGTTTGCCTGGCAGCGATGTTGCAGTGTAAGCATGCTGAGGAGTTCAGTTTCGGTCCCCGGGCCCTAAAGGATGCCCTCATCTCCACCAACCCTGTCCTGCAGGAACTCTATGCTAAGGCTTTTTCCACCACTGAGAGGTTTTTCCTCTCTGAAGCATACAACCCACAGAGGACCCTCTTCTGTACATTGGTCATCAGAACGGCCTTTGACTGGCTCCTAAGCCACCCTGATGCCCCAGAGGACTTTGAGACTTTCTACCACTCTCTTGGAAGGAGGAAACAAAGCACATGTCGGAAGCATATTTACCTACAGCCAATAGGTACCTTGGGCTGGGGGGAGAGGGGGAGGGGTGTCACTCAACTTGGCTTTGGGCTCCAGGCTTCACATCTTGATCTATGCAGAAGCCAGGACGAGAGAGGGTCTCGGTCTATATTAGAGCCTCTCTGGCCCCCATTTAAGAAGATTTCTCTAATCCATAACTCTTAGGAATTATAACCCAGAGTATTCTGAGGTCTCAATAAACTACATAATATTTTGCCTCAGGCAATACTTAAAGGGAGGAGAGAGTGACAGGGAGGGAGGAAAGGAGAGGGAGAGAGGGAGTGTGTGTATATGAGAGAGAGAGAGAGAGAGAGAGAGAGAGAGAGAGAGAGAGAGAGAGAGAGAGAGAGAAACAGGTTGGGGGGAATAGCAAGATCTGGCTAATAATTTCAACTGGCAACAGCAACAATAGAGACAAGAGACTGAGACGGCTTATTTATCCCAGTGTTGAGAGGAAGAGAGAAAAAAAAATGGCATGGTTTCAGGTTCTTTTGAAAAGAAGTGGGATGGCTTTCTACCCCTTTCCCATCCTACTCTCATGCTGTTGCTTCCTTGAGCTCTAGAGAAAGGGATGATGGAACTTTCCTTAAACCTATAGAGACGCACTAAGCACTGAGCATCAGCAATATCCTAGATGTGAGGGAGAACACTGGTCCTCCAGGTATGCTGCTGGATTAAGTTGCATGTAGGGGTCAACCTAGAAATAATGGGGACACCCTGAGAGGAAGTAGGAAGACAGCTCAAGGTGCTCACGGGATTCAGCTGCAATACCATGATCAGTGAGCAGAGGCCCCTAACTCTAGACTGAAATGAACTCCTTTCTGAGGCAAGCATCACCAAGAGCCAGTTCCTGGAAAACCAGTCATTGGAATCATACCTGTGCCTTGTGGATGGGTAAGTCAACCCTTGCATCATAGAGGTGACCATGGGTGTGAAATGAGTGCAGTTGATTGTGTCTTCTGCATTTCTGAGTACAGGTGATCTCTTTGGACTGTGCAAGCAAGCACGGTATGTCCAAGGCAGAAACTGACCATGTTGTTTCTGTTGCTAGAGCTAAGCGAAGGACCTGTGGGGAGTTCCCTCCTGGACTGTCTCCGGGGATTCATGGAATCTTTCTTCCTGGGGCTTCGGGTAAAGTGCCTTCCCTCCGTACCAATCTCTTCCATCCACTGCTGCTTCCGTCATAATCGGGACTCTGACAGGATCCAGCTCCATGCGGGTCAGTTTGGACTGAGAGTAAAGATAGCGAGTGGCATTATCACACTGGTTTTGAACAATTAGGAAAAATGCCGTTCTTGACCTGTATGTCCTGTGGAAGAAGGGAGGTGGGGAGGATGAAATCCTGTTTTTGTGGGGGAAAACAATTAAGTGCACAGGAAAAGGAAATTTCCACAACTAGATTGTTAGTGCCTATTTCCCCTCTCCTAGGATATTGCTTAAAAAAAAAAAAGAAGCTTTACTTATGATAAGATATCCCAAGGAATGCAGTGGAGATGAGGGAAAGTGTCCCCTTAGAATGGCTGGTAATTGATTATCTCTATAGCACTTTGGTCTCCAAGGGACTTTTTAAACACATCTAACTGAATAGACAGGAAAAGTACTTTATAGATGGAGGAGAGATCAGGAGGCGGGGTGGGACAGGTTGGAATTGGTTCACTAGGATGATTCATTCAGTTGTATATGGTCATAGCTGTAAAACTAGAAGGCCTCTTAGTCCAAAGTCTTTGTTTTCCAAACGACCTTGTCCAAGGTCACACTTAAGTAGAGGCAGAAGCAGAATTTGAAATCAGGTCCCCCAACTCCAATGCTAATGTTCTTTCCACTGTATGAGTGATATCAGATGCTTAAACTGAAGTCTGGAGGACCCCCCCCTCCCCCCCCTCCCAAGCAGGAAGCCTTGGAGGTGGGATTTGAACCCAGGTCCTCTGACTCCAGTGAGGCCTGGGGAAAGTCCTAAAGAGAAGTATGTGCCCTGTCTTGGCTGTTGTCTTCAGGGAGGGTGTTCTGCCATTTGGCATGACTCTACACAGATGATTTTACTTCTTTCTCTCTTAACAGTCATCTGATTGGGCCAGCCCTAAGATCATAGGTCCAGAGATTTAGAGCAGGAAGGAACTTGGGAGACCATCAAGTCAGCCTCTTCAGTTTACAGATGAGGAAACTGAGAAAGAGAGAAGTGACTTGCCCAGGGTCACACAGCTGGTAAATGTGTGAGGCAGGATTTGGCTCTGTTTACTATAATACGGTGCATTGAAAGTCGCCTTCCTCCCTGTACTAAAGTATTGACAGTGGACTCAGGGGTCAGGCTGCCTGGTTAGACAGGAAAAAAAGCAGATCATAAAGAATCAGAAGGAAGGCTGTCTTCCTTTGAAAGTTCAGTCCATGTTGATTAGCCTGAGAGCAAGATGGGACCTTCCTCCCATTCCCAGAGTACAGAGCCTTCCTCTTATTCTGAGAGTCCAGGGGCAGGAGAGGAGGGAATCTTCATACCTTTTATAATCTGCTTATATTTTTAAGTATTTTATACCTTTCAATGAGCTTTCATATCAGTTACTTCATTTTACTCCCACCACTCACAGGAGTGAGCATTAGATTTGGAATCTGAGGAAGATCTGACTTTGAGTGCTGTCTCAGACACTTTTTTTTTGAAACATTTTTTTTTCTTTTTTAAGGCAATTGGGGTTAAGTGACTTGCCCAGGGTCACACAGTTAGTAAGTGTCAAGTGTTTGGTCTGAGGCCGCATTTGAACTCAGGTCCTCCTGACTTCGGGGCTGGTGCTCTCTCCACTGTGCCACCCAGCTGCCCCTCAGACACTTATTAGGCATGAGCAAGTCCTTTCTTTTCTCTAAACCTCAGTTACCTCATCTGTACAATGGAGATAATATATATCTGCAGGACCTTGTCCACAGTGATGCTGTGAGGTTTAAATGAGTTAATGTATCCAAAGCACTTTGCAAACCTTAAAGGGCTATCTGGAGGACAGTTATCATCATCATTATCATCATCATCATTATCACCTAGTTAGTACCATCATCATCCTTGTATAGGATGATAGTATAGGAGAGGAAGGGGTTTTCATTGATGAGGAAAATGGGGTCCTATGGAGAAATGATTCCTCTTTCCTGAACTGGGAGGCTAGTGAGAAGATGTGTTACTGTCTTCCAATAATCACTAAGATGCTAATATACTACTACCCAAGTTTAAGGATTTCTTTTCACCAAAACGGGGAAGAGAAATTGTTTCCTTAGAAGAGCTCCTGTCAACCTCTCTTGCTTGAGGAGGAGGGGTTGGAGATTATAAAAAAAAATTGAGACACTCAAATCTGTCTGATATTTGGAAAGGAATGGGATTAAAAAATAATTTTAATTTTTTCCCTTTTTTAATGTGAACTTTATAATCATCAACAAACATTTCAGTATTCAAAGAAGAGTTGATTAGAACATTGAAAACTCTTATATAGATTTTTAGAAAAAGAAACTATATACATACATATATAGAATATGTATATTACACACACACACACACACAACAAAGTAGTAAAAAAATTGCTTTGTTCTGTACTTATTTTCTTGTCCATTTAAAAATGATTTATTGATATTCCTAATAAAATTATTTTTAGTTCTTAACTTAAACAACAAAAAGAGCACTTCCATATACACAGCAGAACAGAAAAAGAGGATTGTAAATGTAACTGTGAATCTTCATTTCATACAGCTTGTTTTTTTAATGTGTATAATAAATTTCATCCATTACTTTCTAAACTGTTCTTTTGGTTTGTGCTTTCTTCTGAATTTGCTTCTGTTCTGTTCATTTAAAAAATGTTTCAATGTTTGTTTTTTTTTCTGCATTAAGACTCACATCTTCATTTCCCTGTTTCCTTGTCCCCCTCCTCTAACAACGACAACAACAACAAAAAGCAGAAAAGAAAAACACACTTATAACAAAAGAAACCCACAGGACGGTCGTGTCCAAAAATGTATGATTCCTTTTGTACCTTGATACTATCACCTCTCTATCAGGAGGAAGAGGCTTCATCATATGTCTTATGGAGAAATGATTGGTTATTTCATTGATCAGAGTGCTTAAGTCTTTCAAAGATTTTTTTTTTACAATGTTGTTATACTTGTACAGATTCTTTTTCCTGGTTCACTCTGGTTTCACTTCACTCTGTGCCAATTCCTACTGCTCAGGATTCTCTGTGATCATCTCTTGCATCATTTCTTATGGTATGATAATATTGCATTGTGCTCGTCTACCAATCATTACTTAACTGATGGGTACCCCCCCTTAGATTCTACTTCTTTACTTTTTTCCCCCCTCTTTTGATCCCTCCTTCAGGATCAGTACATTTTTCTTTTAATTAAATTTTATTTTCACACATGCATTCCCCCTACCCCTTGAGAGAAAGCAAGAAAAACAAAACCTCTGTTACAGACATGTATAATTAAGAAAAACAAATTCCCCAATTAGCTAGCAAGTTTGTTTTGCATGTGATTATTCCCTCCTTGGTATTATGGTATTATCCTTCTTCTTAACCCTGCTTCTCCCCACCCCTTCGCTGCTTGTTTTCCTATTGAATTTGATGGATTTCTATATTGAACTGTGTGTTCAACTCTTTTTTTTTTGTTTCAGATAAGTGAGGTTCATCTGATGCTAACTCCTCCCAACCCTTCCTCCATGTTTGTTTCTTCTTCTCCTCACATATCTTAATTATGAGTTCTACCTCTTCTTCCTTTCTATACTAGTATATTCCTTTTTTACCCTCATTTTTCTTTCCTCTCTTAAAACACTCAGAATAGAACTATTCTACCCCCAGAACATATTTTTCTTATTTAACTTCCTTAACATCCTTTGAAGACGTTGAGGTTCTGAAGCAACACTTGTTTTTTCTTCCCCTATTAGAATGTTAGCACTGTATCATCATACAGCACCTTCCAACCGTTCAGTCAAACTTTTACCTTTCTAGATTTCTATGGACTCTTGTGTGTGTATTTTAGATTTCCTACTCAGCTTTAGTCTTTCATTAGAAGTGTTTGAAAGTTCTCTATTGAATTAAAAACCCATTTTTCCCCCTATAGGATTATACTTAGCCATGGAGGGTAAGTTATTCTTAGTTGTACACTTTTCTCTTTTGACTTTTGGAATGTCATATTCTTTTTTTCTTTCTTTAATTTTTTTATTAATTTATTTTGATTGATCAACAATCACTTCCATATGCTTTTGAGTTTAAAATTTTTCTCCCCCTTCCTCCCCACCACCCTCCCCAAGACAGCGCACAATCTGATATTGGCTATACATATACATATTTTCACATTAATGATGTTGTAAGTAAAAATTAGAACCAATAGGAGGAACCATCAGAAAGAGGAAACAAAACTCAACAGAAGAGAAAAAAATAGCAATTCAACTTCCATGGTTCTTTCTTTAGATGTGGATAGCATTTTTCATCACGAGGCCTTTGGAGATGTCTAAGATCCTTGTGTTGCTGGGAAGGGTTAAGTTTATCAATATTAGTCATCACACAATGTGGCTGTTATTGTGTACAACGTTCTCTTGGTTCTGCTCAATTCATTCAACATCGGACCATACAACTCTTTCCAGGTTTTTCTGAAGTCAGCCTGTTCATCATTTCTTATAGTATAATAGTATTCCATTACATTCATATACCACAACTTGCTCAGCCACTCCCCAATTGAGGGGCATCCTCTCCATTTCCAATTCTTTGCCACCACAAAAAGAGCTGCTATGAATATTTTTGTACATGTGGGTCCTTTTCCCATTTGTATGATCTCTTTGGGATATAGCCCTAGAAGTGGTATTGCTGGGTCAAAGGGTATGCACATTTTTATAGCCCTTTGGGCACAGTGGAATGTCATATTCTAAGATCTTTTCTTGTTTATAATAGAAGTTTCCAAGTCTTGTGTGATTGTGACTGTAGATTCTTGGTAATTCCACTATTTTGTCCTAGATGCTTGCAGTAATTTTTCTTTGACATGAGGGCTCTGAATCTTGGCTATGACATTATGGCAACTTTTCTTTTTGTCTTTTCTTTCAGAAGGTGATCAGTGAATTATTTCTGTCTTTACTTTGCCTTCTGTCTCCAATAGAGCTCTAATAGGCATCTTACATTTATGATTTTCTGAAATTTAGTATTCAGGCCTTTTTTTTTAATCCTGGTTTTCCGGGAGTCCAGTGATTCTTAAATTATGCCTTCTTGACTGTTTTCCAAGCCAATTGTTTTTAAATCAGATAGCTTACATTTTCTTCTAGTTTTCAGTCTTTTGATTTGTTCTAATATTTCTTATTGTCTCACAGAGTCAGTGATTTTTGTTTCACCTATTTTGGTTTCCAGGGATTCTAATTTGGGAGCAAGATTTACCACTTTCTCCTCCAAGCTATTTAATAATAGCTAATATTTATATAGCACTTACTGTATGCCAGGTACTGCACCAAGTGCTTTACAAATACTATCTCATTTGATCCTCACGGCCACCCTGGGAGGTAAATGCTATTATTATCTCCATTTTATAAACAAGGAAACTGAGACAAACAGAAGTTAAGAGACTTGTCCAGGGTTACACAGCTACTACGTGTCTGAGGTTAGAGTTGAATTCAGGTCTTCCTGACTCTAGGCCCGGTGCTTTAACCACTGCACCACCTAACTGCTCTATTTCCTTCTAATTCTTTCCTCCAAAACTTTATTTCATTTTTAAAAAATTTCTTGCTTGATTTGAGCCTTTGCTTGAAGTTGTTACAGTTACTCTTTCCTTCTTTTGGGGGATTTTTATATTCACGATAATTTTTTTGATACTTGTCACTGTTTTCTTTGATTTACTCACCTGTCTAGCCTTGGTTTTTGAACTGGGGTTTGTGCCGGGGTTGGGGATCAGCCAGGCCCTGCTGAGCTTTTGGGTGGGGCGGTCAGCCTTCCTTGATCTCGCCTAGTTCACCTGAGTTCTTGCGCTAGACTTTGGTTCACTGAAGGTACTCTCCTTATCTCAGTCCCTTCTCTGGTCTTGCTAGGAGGCACATTTGCCTGTACTGGCTCTGGCTTTGCTGTTGCTCGCCTCTCCTATTGCCTGAGGGCTGTGGGTGATATTTTGGGCAGTTGTGGGGTAGGAGTCACTCACAGTAACTTCTCATTGGAAAGCTTGATTTATGCTCCCGTCTTCATATCTGTGACTAACTCCTAACTCACTGCTCCCTGTTTCTCAAGTAGATGTCCTCCCTTGTAACAAATAAGCATAGTCAAGCAGAACAGATCAAATGAATATCTCATTCTTCACCTTTAGTTTATTACCTTTTTGCCAAGAGTGGCAGGCATGTTTTATTATCAGTCTTTTAAATCACAGTTGGTCTCTGCTTTGGTGAAAGTAGTTCTGAGGTATTTCAGAGTTCTTTCCTCTTGCATTATGGGCATCACAGAGATTGTTTTCCTGGTTCAACTCATTTCAATCTACATGACTTCATGTACGTACATCTCTGAATCCATTGTGAAGGTTGGATAATTCACTCAAACATAGAAACTGTGCCTGTTTGGCTACCTTTCAGATTAATGTGGATTAGAACCCAGATGATTGAGAATATCTGAGTTCAGAAACTTTTCCTTTTTATTTTGTTGTTTTCTGTTTGTACTCAAATGCTGATTGCAAATTCTTTAAAACATTCCTACCTCTTGCATGTGGTGAAAGAAAAGGTCCAATTTAGGTCTGACAGAGAGAAGAAAAGAAGGTGCCCTAGCTGACCAGGGATTGTAGGGGCAGCAATCTGCCATACCTAGAGGAGGAGAAGTCGCCTAAGTTGTGAAGGGAAGGGACGCAGAGACCAAGGACTGAAAGTATGGCAGCCCGAATATTATTGTTGATGCTCAGGGAAACCGAGAAGAGTTAAGTGACTTAATCTAAGATTATACCATGGTACAACATTTAGGTATACCTGTTTCCACTGTAAGAACCCGTTGCCTTTTGCATTCCATCACCAGATAGCATTTTGACCTTCCTGAAAAACAGTAAACCTAAGGATGCCCTGTGTGTGCTGGGCCTCACACTCATGGACCTGTACCCCTGTGAAAACTGGAGCTTCACTTTTGGCAAAACCCTTCCAGGACAAGGTGAGATCTGGTTCCTAATGGCTTCTATGCAGGAGGGAAATCTGGGTGGAGCCTTTCCGTTGGAAGACCAATGTACAGAAAGACATTTCCTGGGTGTTAGTGAGGAAAGTCTTCTTGTGCTCTTCAAGGTGAGCGTGTGTCTGAGAGAACGCGAAATAGGAGACATCCTTTGGTCTTATAAGAGTTCAGGTCTGACAGCTTTTTTTTTTTTATAGGGGGTAGAAATGGGAAGAATATAAGAAAAAAACACTTTCCGTTAATTAATCATGGTTAGGGAGAAAGAAGGAAAAGGTTGTGTGTGGTTGTGTGGTTTGTCCTTCATCTTTTTTTTTTCTTTTTTTAGGCAATTGGGGTTAAGTGACTTGCCCAGGGTCACACAGCTAGTAAGTGTCAAGTGTTTGGTCTGAGGCCAGATTTGAATTCAGGTCCTTCTGACTTCAGGACCGGTGCTCTATCCACTGCACCGCTTAAGCTGTCCCCCTGTCCGTCATTCTTGAAGAGGACCATGCCATCAGGGAGATGATGACATGACTTGCAACTGACTTTGATTTGAATGAGGGAGGGCTTTGCTAAGTCACCAGCCTCACTTTCTCCTCTAGAGCCACCTGATTCCAGTGGCCAGAGATGGATTAGGATGACTGGGGATAACCCAGGATGCAATGGGAGACCCTTTTAAGCTAAGATCTTTTAAAGTTCTTACTTTGAGTGAGGCAACGTCCATTCAATGAATAGGCCTCTTTGAGAAGTGAATCTAGGGATGTTCCCTTTAACAAAAAATTAAAAAAAAATCAAACTGGGAGGGGAAGACCCTCAGGGTTGTTGGTCAAAAGAGAAACAGTTACTATTTACATTCACTCTGAGCCTGGAGGGCCCAAAAAATAACCATTAAGTGGCGGTTGGGCAGGGACCTATTGTGGTCCATTCCATGAGATCCAGAGCAAATTGGGTTTAAGGCTTGATTTTTGAGAAAGAAATCTACCTAGTAAACCCCAAGTTAACTAGGCAATTTACAATCATCCTGATGGATATCTGGCCACTGGACCAAGATTGCTCTGGAGGAGAAAGTGAGACTCATGACTTTGCATAGTTCACCCTCGCTCAGATCAAAGTCAACTGCAAGTCTGAATGAAGGACAAACCACAAGCTGTCAGTAGTCCAAGCTGCCTGAGTGGGGACCCAGCTGGCCACTTCCAGTTGGGCAACTCAGGTCTTCCTCTCCTCCCCTCTCCTCTGTTCCCCCCTCTTCCCATAGTCGAAATGAGGAAAAGGAGGTCTTAGACATGGACTTGTAAATACCAGGTAGGTTACAGTACTGAGCTTAAGGTCAAGAAGACCTGAGTTCAAATCTGTCTCAGACGTTCCCTAGCTGTGTGATCCTGGGAAACCACTGACCCTTGATTAACCTCAGTTTCTTCATTTGTAAAATGCAGGGGTTGTGTTTGATGGCCTAGCTTTAAATGTATGATCCTATAAACCGTTTTCCACTAAAAAAAAAAAATCAATTGCTTAGCTTTTCTAACGAAATTATATCGACAATGAAATGAATGAAAAATAGCTTCTGTTACTGGCAACTCAAAATTCTGGGAAAAGTCACTTTCTTGGGGAAGAACTCTTTTCAAGCCTACATTAAACAGCTGGGGAAGAAGGCACAAGGTGAGGGATTCTGACTCTATCCAGTGAATACCACAGTGATAAAGTGGACAGTATGTGGGTTTTTCTTGATGAGAGATTTCTGAGAACACCTTTATCACTTTCAGACAGAGCTGAGGTGGCCCTTTGGGCTGTAGAGGGGTAAGATAAATCCTGATTCCCTAGGCTCTTTCGACTTCCGCAGTCCCAGTCTTAACCCCTAAAGCAGGACATTCATTATATGGTCTTCTCTCCTTTACTCAGAAGTAGGAGTGTGCAGCTTTGCCAGGTTTTCAGCAGATTTCTGCCAGGCTCCAGGAGCTGAGGAGATGCCAGACATCACCCTGAAGGTACCTGAGATAACCCTGAGGGACAGAAATCGGACATTCTTCTTCAGCATTCTGGAGATGCTCCAGTGTTGCAAGGTATGTATACCAGGACAGGTGTTTCCCAGTCTTAGAAACCAGGCTTTGTTATTTTTATGACTTCTATCACTTGGGGCCAAAGTGAAGCTTCAAAGCTATTTCAGATGTCTGATTTCATGTATTTTCTTGAGAAATGGGTCCTGAGAAGCAGTGTGCCATGATGAATAGAAAGGTGGCCCTGGAGGATGGAAGGCCTGCGTTCAAGGCCCGCCTCTGACCCATACTGGCTCTGTGACACAGGAAATATCTTCATTGGCAGAGAAGGTGCCAATTTGAATGGGCAGAGGAAGCTTATCACCTGGGAGTTCCTTACACTGATGAAATCACAGGTCTAGTCTCCTCCAAAATAAAGAGCAAAAAAAAAAATAGCTTCCTCATCAGTAGTGAGTGTTATATTAGCTAAAGGGACATCTCACATATGTAATAGGATGTGGATGAATTTTAAACTATGATTATAGAGGTTTGAGGAGCTATTTTGGGGAGGATGTAGTCTGTACATAGAGTATAAATGAGACTGGGAGAGTGTTGGAGGATTCCAACTGGCTGAGAATGTCTTCAACCATATGGGATTGAATAGCTTCCTTAACTCTGAGTCAATCAAACTGGAATCTCTCCCTAACCCCCCCAACCCCCCTCACCCAAAAAAACCCCAAACCAGCCCAAATCAAACAAAATAAGACACAACTAGAAGTCTCCAAAGAATTCCTTCTCTCCTTGGAGTCTATTCAGGGATTTCTCTTGGACTTAATCCAGCAGCCAGTCCAGACTTGGGGACAACCTCTAAGGGCTGGTGCAGGGCATTTTGGCCCACAGTCATGGGTTTTGATAACCAAGCATTGTATATAGCAGAACTTAATACATTTTTGCTGAATGAAACAGATGAATGAATGAGGCTCATTGTCTGCTGCAGGAACTAACTTCAGATGCTGCAGTGAATAAGAGATTGTTAGTGTCACCTGGCATACTCTATATATTTTGACATCTCTTTAATCAGGGGTGTGCTGGAGCCATCTCAAACCAAGGGCTGATTGTTAAATTTTCAGTGGGAATATTTATACTTCAGAAATTGGAAAATTTCTGAATAAAAATCAGAGCTTCATTTATTGTTTGGTTGATTAATTAGAATTAAGGAAGTTATGAAAAAAATGCTAATATTGTAGATTAAACTTAAAAGTGTGACCTGTGTTTTTAGAAAGCTGTTTGTTAAACATTTACCAGCACACCAATGCTTCTAATCCACATGAAATACTGACAGTCATATCAGGGAAGGAAGGTCTACAAATAATGTTTATTTTAGTGGAAGGGAAGACAGAATAGCTGGGCCTCTCTCCTCAAGAGGGGTGGATTGCTTCCCTTCTGGAGTGAAGAAATCCCAAGCTAAATGATTGGGGTGGAGAGAAAGTGGGAAATATGTGAACATGGTTGATTATGGATGAGTATTTCCCCCCAAACTTGGCCAAGGACAATTTTACTTTCCTCATAGGTCACATGTCATGAGATCTGCCACCTGATTGGCTTGGGAAATTGCCGCTGGCTGAGCTGCATTATGCAGGGAGCCCTGAGTTTGGATGAGGCCCTCCTCCGGCCCCTGGAGCTTTGCCCGATCTGCCTTCGGAAGCTGCAGTATTTCACTGGATTCAAGCTGATTGAGAGATACAAGGTGAGTGATGCCACTCTTGCTACCCACGAGGAGATGAAAATTAAAAGAAATATCAAGAAGAAAGAGGAACAGGTCCATCGGCTCCATGTGTGCACTATACACTCCATGAAGACACTCGGTGACACTGAGCATCTGTTCCCACCCCCACATAGCTCACAGGTGAACATGGATTTACTATCCTGTAACTTAGGGTATATCTTACATGACATAGATACACAATTGTTATTATTATATTTTTGTTGTTGTTCAGTTGGATCCAACTCTTTGTGGACCCATGGACCATGGCACACCAGGTTTTTCTGGGCAAAGGTACTGGAGTGGCTTGCCCTTTCCTTCTCCAGTAGGATTAAGGCAAACAGAGATTAAGTAACTTGCCCAGAGTCACACAATCAGTAAGTATCTGAGGCCAGATTTGAACTCAAGTCTTCCTGGCTCCAGGCCCAGCACTCTATCCACTGGGCCACTTAGCCGCTCATATAGCACCTAAATGTAAGCTATCATTACCTAAAAACTGATTAGTGGGGGGAGGCATTAGCTGTAGAGGAATAATAAATCACACAGGAGGTGGCATTTGAGTTGAGCCTGGAAGGAAAATAGGGATTCTGAGAGACTGAGGTATTGAGGGAGGGCACGACAAGAGTGTAGGGGTGATTATGTCTGAGAACAGTAGGAAAACCAGAAATCGCCAGATCATCCCACAACTCCCATTTTAGCCAACAGTGTTGCCTACCTTACTTTATACCAAGTTACTGACAAAAATAAAGGTGGATGAATTTGAGGTTCAGCTTCTCTTCCAGGCCCTGCCCACTTTCTGAGGGAAGGAAAATGCCCACATATAAGAAAGTTAGCAGAAAGGAAAATGAGGAGAATCATTAGATAATCCACAAACTGGGGAACTGGAAGATGTGCATACACATATACACAATTCAAAAGATTTAACCTCCTGACTTAGGGTCAGATGGCAGTTCTGAGCTGGAGACTCATCTGCTCAACCCGGCCAGGATGTCTAGAGGAGGCTTTTCCCCAGGGGATGAAGGCTGGAAAGCTCTCTGAAAAGATGAGCTGCTAGTCAGCTCTGTCTGGAGGGATGACATCACAAGGTCAAAGTATTCTTGTTCTGGCCAGGGCAATTTTCTGAGACACTCACGACCATCCTACCCTGTGGTGGCATCAGTATTCCTCTGTAACCTGGCACCTTCAGAACTGATTAGTCAAAGTGATGGGAGCATTAACCCTCAAGGAACCCTCCTGTACCAAAGGTGGGAGTAAATAGATCTCTGATCCCCACCTCAGACCTGTCAGTGACACTTGGCATTCCCAGAGGAGCAGAACAAATTGGTCTGATGCCATTTTTATGATTTCACTTGATAGACCAGCCTACTCCCAAACACTAGGTCAAGAGGGAAGATGTTCCCATGGAGACAATCTCCAGCAAGAATAACAGCAATTTATTTCTTCAGAAGGGGCTCAAAACACTCCACACATGTCATGTACTTCATTCCATACCTGTTATAAATGCTATGAGAGAGGATACTTTCAAGGCCAGGCTGAGGAGCTCAGAGATGTCCTGAGGATTGTAAAAACAATGAAAGGAGAGAACAATTAAAAATTGTAAAAACAATTTTTAATATTCGTTTATAAAACTTTGAGTTCCAAATTCTCTCCTTTGCTCCCTCCCCCCCTTTCCCATCCCATTGAGAAGGCAAGTAGTTCAGTATGGATTATACATGTGTGGTCATGCAAAACATATCCAGAATAGTCATGTTGTGAAAGAGATGTCCTCCTTACCACATTGCCCCCTCATTCTCTCATTCCCTTCCTCTCCTACTTTCCTGTAGGGTAAGATAGATTTCTATACTCAATTGAGTATATATGTTATTCCCGCTTTGAGCCATTTTCAGAAGAATATTATTAAAAGCATAAAACACCTAGGGTTCCAAATGAAAACATAATTATATTGAAATTTAGTTATAATATTTCAAAACCAAGTTCATGGACCCCAAGTTAAGAATCCCTTCCTTAAGAGATATTTCCATCAGATGTGATCAGGGAAAGCCTTGTGGAAGGGATGATCTGTGCTAAATCTGGAAGGATAGGTAGGATTTTGATAGGTGGGGATTGTAGGGTGAAGAAGTAAGAGTAGAGAACAATGTCCATAGGTGGGGAATAAGATAGATATGGGGAATGACCAGTAATCCAGTTTGTCTGGAATGTGGCGAATGTCTGGTAATGACACATGTTGAGGATGGGGAAAGAGAAGATGTAGAGTGGTAGAAATCCTTGATTGTCACTCTTTGTTAAGAGTTTGTACTTAATCTGACATGTATAAATAAGGATACCATGGAAGCCTTTTGAGCAGGGCACAGACGCAATTGAAGGATGCTTTAGGACCAAAAGTTCTTACCCTTCTTTGTGTCATGGATCCTTTTGTTTGTTTATTTGTTTTTGTCTAGGCAATGGGGTTAAGTGACTTGCCCAGGGTCACACAGCTACTGAGTGTTATGTGTCTGAGTCTGGATTTGAACTTGGGTCCTCCTGACTCCAGGGCCGGTGCTCTACTCACTGTGCCACCTAGCTGCCCCCATGGATCTTTCTGGCAGCCTGGTGAAGCCTATGGCTCCCTTCTCAGAAGAATAATATTTTTTAAAAATTAATTTATTTTTCCCCAGTTACACGTAAAAACAATTTTTAATATTCGTTTATAAAACTTTGAGTTCCAAATTCTCTCCTTTGCTCCCTCCCCCCCTTTCCCATCCCATTGAGAAGGCAAGTAGTTCAGTATGGATTATACATGTGTGGTCATGCAAAACATATCCAGAATAGTCATGTTGTGAAAGAGAACACAGACAAAAAAAAAAAACCTCAAGAAAAATAAAAAAAGTTTAAAAAAAAAGCACGCTTCGATCTGTATTTAGACACCATCAGTTCTTTCTCTGGGGATGGATAGCATTTTTCATCATAAGTCCTTCAGAGTAGCTTGGATCATTGTATTGCTGAGAATAGTTAAATCATTCATAGCTGATACAATATTGCTGTTACTTTGTACACAGTACATTTCACTTGCATCAGCCCATGCAAGTCTTTCCAGGTTTTTCTGAGAACATCCTGCTCGTCATTTTAATCACATACCACAACTTGTTCAGCCATTCCTCGATTAATGGGTATCCACTCAGTTTGTAATTCTTTGCCCCCAGAAATGAGCTGCTATAAATATTTTTGTACATAAAGGTTCTTTTCCTTTTTTTAATCTCTTTTGGGATACAGACCTAGTAGTGGTTTTGCTAAGTCAAAGGATATGCATGGTTTTATAGCCCTTTGGGTATACTTCCAAATTGCTCTACAGAATGGTTGAATCAGTTCACAACTCCACCAACAAGGCATTAATGTCTCCTCCAACATTTGTCATTTACCTTTTCTGTCCTATTAGCCAATCTAATAGGTATGAGATAGTACCTAAAAATTGTTTTAATTTGCATTTCTCCAATCAATAGTGAGTTGAGTATTTTTTCATATGGCTATAGATATATCACCTGAAAACTGATCATATCTTTTGATGACTTATCAATTGGGGAATGGCTCTAATTTTTATAGATTTGACTCAGTTCTCTATATGTTTAAGAAATGAGTCCTTTATCAGAGAAACCTGCCTCCAAATTTTTTTCACAGTTACTATTGCTAACTGTATTTCCTTCCATTCTATTCCCCCTTCCCCCGTGTATTCTATTCTCTCTCTCCTCTCACCCTGTTCCTCCTCAAAAGTGTTTTGCTTCTGACTGCCTCCTCCCCAATCTGTCCTCCTTACCACATTGCCCCCTCATTCTCTCATTCCCTTCCTCTCCTACTTTCCTGTAGGGTAAGATAGATTTCTATACTCAATTGAGTATATATGTTATTCCCGCTTTGAGCCATTTTCAGAAGAATATTATTAAAAGCATAAAATACCTAGGGTTCCAAATGAAAACATAATTATATTGAAATTTAGTTATAATATTTCAAAACCAAGTTCATGGACCCCAAGTTAAGAATCCCTTCCTTAAGATTACTGACCTGGCAATAGTATGCAAAATGGATTAGAGCACGGACAGAAAATAAATAGGGCAGTTAGGCGGTGCAGCGGATAGAATGCTGGGCCTGAAGTCAGGAAGACTCCTTTTCCTGAGTTTAAATGTGGTCTCAGACACTTACTAGCTATCTGATCCTGGGCAAGTCATTAGTTTCTTCATCTGTAAAATGAAGTGAAGAAGGAAATAGCAAACCACTTCAGGATCTCTGTCAAGAAAACCCTAAATGGGGTCACGAAGAATCGGACACAACTGACAGCAACTGAACAGCAACAACAACAAAGAAAATAAAAATAACGAGAATTTCAGCATTTTATGTTTATGTAGCGCTTTATAACTTAGAGTGCCACCTTCACGAGTGTTCCATGAGGCAACTAGAATAAGAGTTACTGTTCCTGCTTTATAGATGAGGAGATGCCAGGAAGCAGTTGAAAATGAGCGACTGAAGCTTGGAAGAGGTTGGGGCTTCATCTACAGAGAGGTGAGAGTAGACGCGGATGAAATCATCTAGGGGAAGAATACTTATCATGACCCATTATGAATCCAGCTGCTAACTGAGGGGCAGGGCATCACAAGTCTGAACCTTTATCTCACCAGGAAGTCATCTCACCTGCCCACAATGGGCAGCAGGGAAGGATGCCTATGCACAAACCCAGGTGACCACCATCCTTATAAAACCATCCCTTGATTCTACTATTTCCTTAACTTTCATCCTGTATCTCTTCTTCCTTTCAAATCCAGTCTCCTAGAAAAGGATTCTCTATACCCCTTCTATTTCTACACTTCCTGACAATAACAACAACCACATTTCTCAATTCCTTGCAATCTGGTTTCCATCCTTACCACTTGACTGAAAATATGCTCTCCATGTTTACCAATGATCTCTCAAACATTTTTATTTATATCTTTTGTTTTTATATCACTTTCATATCTGACTACATCCCTCTTCCCTCCCCTACCCATTGAGTAGTCCTTTGTAACAACATATAAGAAAGAAGGGATAAAAAACAGGTTAGCAACACTAACCAAGGCATCGAATGAGTCTGACGGGATACGCAATGTAGCATAGCCACATTTCCCCAACGCCCAGCCACTCCCTGGCTCCCCTCCAGACCTCTGCAAAAAAGAACTGGAAGTACCTTTTCTCATTTCTTCTCTGGAGCCAGCAATCTTTTCACTACTAAATCCAATGGCCTTTTCTTATTCCTCTTCCTTGCTTTACTTCTCTGTGGCAGCTTTTGCAGCACCACTCCTTCTGGCTACTCTACTCCCTTGGGTTTTGTGACATTTTTCTCTCCTGATTTTCCTCCTATCCATCTGACTGCTCTTTCTCCTTCTCATTTCTTTTGCTGGATCATTCTCTTCCTCCCATCCATTAAGTGTGGCCATTCTCCAAGGCTCTTTCCAGAACCCTTTTCTCTCAGCTAGGTGGCTCAGTGGACAGAATGTAGGATAGAATGTTAGAATCAGGAAGACCTGAGTTCAAATGCTGCCTCAGATACTAACTGAGTGACCCTGGCAAAGGTCATTTAACCTCTCTTTGCTTCAGTTTCCTTATCCGTAAAATGGGGATAATATTAGCACTCACTTCACAGGGTTGTTGTGAGGAAGAAATGAGATAATACCCATAAAATGCTTTGCAAATTTTAAAGTGCTATAACTGCCAGTGAATATTCCTTATGGTCTCATCAGTTTCCATGGATCCAGTCATCAGTCCTATGCCTATGACTCCAAATCTACATATCTAGACCTAAATTTTCTCTGATACCTAGCTGCCCTCTACACATTTTTTCTTTTTTTTTTAGGCAATTGGGGTTAAGTGACTTGCCCAGGGTCACACAGCTAGTAAGTGTCAAGTGTTTGGTCTGAGGCTGAATTTGAACTCAGCTCCTCCTGGCTTCACGGTTGGTGCTCTATCCACTGTTCCACCTAGCTGCCCCATCCTTCTCCTTTTTCAATGCACAAGTGGTTCCCCAGGTGTGGAATGAGCTACTCCTCATGTTATAGAATCCCTAGCTTCCTTCAGAGCCCAGCTTAGGTGCCATTAAGGCCTTTCCTATCATTCCCTTACACAGTCGGAGAGTGGGGAGGCATTAGAATACAAGGTACTTCAGGAAAGGGCAGGGACTGTTTCAGTTTTGTGGCTATAGCACAGTGCTTTGCAACGTAACAGGTACTTAATAAACATTTATTGAATGAATATATTAAGGAAATAATAATAGATAATAATAGCAACAGCTAGCACTTTAATGCCTGCAAAAACACTTTTATTGTTGTTGTTCAGTTGTGTCAGACTCTTCGTGTCCTCATTTTTTGTTTGTTTGTTTGTTTTTGTTGTTTGTTTTTTGGGGGGGGTGGCAAAGATACTGAAGTGGTTTGCCATTTCCTTCTCCAGCTCATTTTACAGATAAGAAAATGAGGCAAACAGGGTTAAGTGACTTGTCCAGGGTCACACAGCTAATAAGTATCTGAGGTTGGATTTGAACTCAAGTCTTAATGATTCAGGGTCCCAAGCTGAGACTACAAGTCTCAGCTCCTAACCTAGCTCTCCTACACCACATAGTTGCCAAGTTGGACATTTTTTTTTTTTTAGGCAATTGGGGTTAAGTGACTTGACCAGGGTCACACAGCTAGTACGTGTTAAGTGTTTAGTCTGAGTCTGGATTTGAACTCAGGTCCTCCTGACTTCAGGGCCGGTGCTCTATCCACCGTGCCACCTACCTGCCCCCAAGTTGGACATTTGACAAGTCCAAGCCAGGGTCTTTCATCTGAATTTAGTTCCACAGAGTGGGGAACACAGTTGTCAAATACTGAGAGACTCAGACCAACAATATTAATTAATTTGCTAGTCTAGGGACAAAGAATAGCAGGAGATATAAGGAGAACAGCCTGTGAAACATGCTCAAGGACTGCTGGGATAGTCTGCTTTTCAAGTCTGCGTCCCCTGAACCTCGTTAAGGAGTCTCTGTGAGTTGCAATAATATGGAGAATAGAACCTCTGATAATGGCCAACACTTATTAAGAAAAGGCGTCAGTGAAGGAGAGAGGGTAGAGGAATGCCAGGATGGTTTTGGATCACGGAAGTCAAATTAGAGAGAATTATCAACATGGTAACATACTACCGAGAAGTCAAGGAAGTAGCTGGGCTGTGTGGTGTGCATAGAGAGCTAGGCTTACATGAGTTCTAATTCTGTCTCAGACTCTTATTAGCCACGTAATCCTGGGAGTGTCTACCCCAAAGAACTATTTGGAAGATTAGATTTGATAATATATGTGAAGCTCTTCACAAACCATAAGCTATAGAAATGCCAGCCATTATTATTATAATAAGGACCAAGGAAGAAGTCCATTGGATTTAGGAAGTCCCTTGTAACCTCTGGGACTGCAGTACCTACTAGTATGGTATGGGAAGAGGTGGAAGCCAGATTGTAAGCATTTGAGGAATGAGTGGTGAAGTAATGGAGGTGAGAAGTACACTTTTTTGAGAAGTTTGTTGATGAAGGAGAAACGTATATAGAGGGCTAGAGGCCCTTCAGAGGCCATTTAGTTCAAATGTCTTAATTTACAGATGAGGAAACTGAGGCTCTGGAAGTTAAGCGGCTTGCCCAGGGTCATGCAGGTAGTAATGAGCAGAGTTAGAATTTGAAACTAGGTTCTCTGACTGAACATTCAAAGCTCCATGGCAGGGGATGGGGGGTGGGGAAGTATTGGGGCTGAAGGCAGATTTTTAAGGCAGGGAGATCAGAACTTGAAGCAGAGGGAATAGAGCCAGTGGAAGATTTTAAAGATAAAAGTGAATAACTAAGACAGAACATTTTGCCAACAGAGTCCCCAGCTGACTTCACTGCAGAAACCTAGGGAGATGACAAGTCCCAGAGATTCTTGTGTATAAACAGGAAAGTTTAAAAGGCAGTTTTATGAGAATTTCATGAGGGTCAACCTCTCATCCAAGAAATGCTCTCACCTTGCTCCCTCTTGTCCCCAACCACTGGCAAAAAGAAAGGTCAGACAGACAACTCTGCTCACTTTATCCTATTTCTACTTTTATTTGAGGATCTTATCTCTGTGGGCCTCAGTTTCCTCATCTGTAAAACACTGGACCAGTCCCTAAGGTTCCTTTCTTTCCCATTGGCTCACTGCCTACAATGATTGTTTTCACCAACACTCTCAGGGAAACTCAGATAATAATGTGATATTGTAAACATTTATTAAGTGCCTACTGTGTACAGAATCCCAGGTTAGTTGACGAGGGAGATATAAATACGATACATACATAGTTTTTGCCCTCAAAGAACTTCCAGTCTGATAGAAAATCTCTAGAACTTGGGTCTATCACTGCCTACCTGGCAAGGTCTATATAACTTGCCCTCTTAAGGGGAGAATAGAGAAGGGGTGGGGGGAAGTCAGGGAGGCAAGGTCATCCTCACTTCGTAGGATGCAACATGGTGCCAATAAACATTTATTAAGCACCTACTGTATGCCAGGCAGTGTGCTAAGATCTGGGGAGAAAGGCAAAAGACTGTTCCTGTCCCTTAGGGAGCTCACAGTCTAACAGGAGAGACAACGATGTACAGACAGGATAAATTGGGAGTAATCAACAGATATAAGGCACTAAGTCAAGGAGGACTGGGCAAAGATTCTTTGCAGAGGTGTAACAAGCTGAGCCTTGAAAGAAGCCAGGGGAGCCTAGGAGGCAGAGATGAGGAGGGAGGGAGACAGCCAGTGGAACTGCTTGTGTGAGGAAGAACATGGAGGTTAGTGTCATTGGTTCACAGAAGATGTGGGGGCAAGTAGGGGGTAGAACAAGACTGGAAGAGTAGAAAGGGGTCAGGCTCTAAAGGGATTTACAAGCCAAACAGGGGGGTTTTATGTTTGATCCTGGAGGTAATAGGGAGACACTAGAGGTTATTGGATAAGCAGATGATGTGGTCATGTACATGACATGTTCTTTAGGAAGACCCCTTTGTAACAGCTGAGTGGAAAAAAGGATTGCAGTGGGGAGAGCCTTCTGGCAAGGAGACCAACTAGCAGTCTATTGCAGTAGTTCAGGCATGAGGTGATGAGGGCCTGCATCAGGGTGGTGACAGTGTCGGAGGAGAGGAGGGGATGCCTATGATAACAAAGGTAAAATCGACAGGCCTTGGCAAAAGATTGGATAAGGGGAGGGGGTGAGAGTGGGGAGTAGAGGATGACCCCTAGATGGGGACCTGGGTGGCTGGGAGGATGGTGATACCCTCCACAGTAATATGGAAGTTGGGAAGAAGGGAGGATTCTGGGGGAGAGAGAATGAGTTCCTTTTTGGCCATCGAGTTTAAGATGTCTGTGGAACATCCAGTTTGAGATGTCTGACACAAACAGCTGGAGAAGTGAGACTAGAGGTGGGGGAACTGGCTGAGTAGGTTTAGAGTCATATGCATAGAGATGAGAACTGAAACCATAGGCACTGCTGAGATCTCCAAGTAAAATAATATACGAGAAGTG